TTATTGTATGCAAGGATTAATTAGTTAACATGTGTAATAGCTTTAAAGGTGCTTGGCATGATTATAGGATATAGACTTGGCAAAATATGGAATGGATAGTAGTACAAAATAATACCAAAGCTGAAATGTAAAATCTTGGCAATTGCTTTATGGCTATGTAAACTGAATAAGCTGAAAATGAGATTAAATTGCTGGGGTGGTCTACTTGCTGGAACCAAGTTTCCTGGCTCTTAATGAGTTTGCCCTTTCCATAATGCTGAGCAAGGTTTGCATCCTGCTGTTTCTTCTTGCATCTCATTTCAAACGGCCTCAAGACTTATCTTTAAAGCAATATAATCAGTTTCACTGGCAATACCTGTCAAAAAGCAAACAGGAAATGGGGGGGGAAACCTCACATTTGTATGTACTGATACATTCACATACACAATTAAATATAATGCATTATGTGTTGGGAAGGAGCTTTTTACTATAAACTCATTGACTTGATCTTTTTTTTTTTTTTTTGACATATTTTATATAGATCTAGTATCTAACTAGGAAGTCTTCAGCTAAACCTTTATGACCCTTTCGTAAACTAAACATAGGAAGGGAGAAGGCTGAGCACTGAGCAATCGCTGTAACTAGCCAACAAAGGAGCAGGGAAGTGGAGTACTCGCACAGAGCATTCAGTTATTCAGGGTAATTCAGAGTCTTTTTACTTGATAGTTTTGCAACAAAACCTGCTTTCTCTGGTGACATATCTCCCAGATTTAACCTGCTTACAGATGCTTCTGAGCATTTGCAGCTCCTGAGCATTCCTAAACTCCGAAAACATGAACAGGGAAATTAGTAACAAAACTATCTTACCAGCACAGGAATTCAAATGCTATTGGAGAGTGAAGATACAAGAAATGCTATTGGAGATACAAGTCTGTCTATTACTTGAATATCAGGGTTTCTTGGTTTTTGCTTCATTCATCTTTTAAGGCACAAAGAGAAACTTCTTAATTTTGTTTTTATTTATAGAGAAAGGGGCATTTTGCATTCCACACCCATCTGCTCGCTTGTTCCCAGTGATGGCTGGGTTATCACTAAAATACAACTCTCTGACCCACAGAGCTTGGCAGTGCAAAATTGCAATGTGTGTACACACAGGCATCTGCCACCAACGGGAAGTTTGCAGCAGCCCCAGACCTTAAATAAATTCCAACAAGCAGAGAACTGTGCAAGCTGCCTCTTGTCCCGGCCCTCTGCTGAAAGCTCACCCTTTCTTTGAGTCTGACTCCATGGTGACTTTGTGCCCCACATTTTATATTGTTGTGTGCAATGTAAAATGTTCCTCATCTGGAAACACACTAAAATGGCAATTCTGAGACTTCCTCTGGAGTAGGTGACGAACAGGGTGGGATCTCACAAAGCCTTTTACTGAGATTATTTAGTTTCCTGCTTGGCAACTGCTTCTCTTGAACTGAGAGAACTTTTTGAGCTGCTTTTCAGACTGCCCAGTTCTGTCCTTGCTGAAGGAGCACAGCCAATACTTGCCAGTAAGTTTTCACAGCAACTGCTTCTTGCTGTTTGGAGTAGAATGGCGTGTCCTAGTTTAGACAAGTGGTTTGGTGCAAAGGTTCTCCTCAGCTCTCTATTTCATGCTCTCTATGGTAGGGAAACAGTGTATTTGGTCAAAAACAACCATCACTGCTGCCTGTGACAAATCTGGTGACAGAGGCAAAATAGGTATTGCCTAAAGGAGGCAAAACAGCCATGGTTCTACTCAGCTATGGCATGTGGTTCAGCTGCTGGTGCTGGGGTATAATAAGTACAAGCTGGCTGGGGGGCAGATGGAAGGGAGAACATGAATGAACTTGAAATCATACATCAGAAAGAAGACAAATGTATGGTAGTGAGAGTGCTAAATACAAAATCTTTCACAGAAGATGCTGTAGCTTATTTCATACCAAAAATTGCTGCTGCTCTGTCAGGTAATTGCTAATCAAGCACAAACTAGGTTTATTAAAAAGAGCTCCTGGCTTAAAATGTTTGGCCTATGTCATATCAGAGATCAGAGTGAATGACCCAACAATCTCTCCCTCCAGCCTACAAAGATAGGAAGCAATCACAGAAAAAAAAAACATCACCAGCAACAACAAAATGGGATCATTATCCAAAGTCTTGCAGTGACTGAACTGGCACCTAAAGTAGACTGCTCCTGTCCTGCTCAACAACCTCTGAAGATGCTTTTTGCAGCCAAAATGACTCACAGCCTTTAACTGTGAGTTCTGATTAATTTCAGCCACAGTTTTATGGCTGCTGCTGTGGCTGTAACATCTTGCAAAACAATCAAAATCCATCAATAACCTAAGCCTTCATTTTCAACTTCTCAATGGATTCATCCATCAGAAAGATCACAGCAACAGGGCTGGTCAAAAGACTGACTGCAATTGGTGGTAACAGCCATAAACTGTACAGACCTTTCCTGCAATGACATAGAAACTTGAAGACCTCCCAACAATCTCCTTTGAGCTTCCTTCCAGGCAGCATTGTTGTGGACACCACCTCTCCTGTAGATTAAAAATTTGTGTTGTTTTTTCACTGTATTTTATTTTCTCCTCCCAAGGGGCTTTATAAATGCTGGCTGGACATAGCTGGAGCTGTGCTACAGGCTGGAGGAAAAATTATTTCTATGTTACAGAAATGCTGTTTGCAATATTAAGGTCACATCGCCCTAACGTGATCCCACCGCAGAGATGAACACGGATTCTGTTGCATGGCGTTGTGCTGTCGTCCTCAATTAACTGAAGGCAGTTTGCCCCAGGGCCTGCTGATTCATCTGTTCACTGGAGCTGCACCGAATTAACATACAACAAAATCAAAAGATTCTTCCACGACAAACAGCCTGCTCATTCATCTGTTGTTTCATTGTGGTGCTGTTTTCATTACCATGTTTGATTTAATTTGTACGTGTGCTAGTCATGAAAAAAATACAGTCGTACCCTTGCTTTGGGGAATGAAAGGTCAACAAAGGAAATATAGCTGCTGCTTTTTGAGGCAATCAAAACACACCATGTAAGATAAATTTGGAAGGGCTCACAGATGCTGCACATTAGGGAGCTAAAAAGGTTTTAATCCTTATTTAGAAATTTGCAGCGGGGTGGTTTGTTTTTACAACTAATTTGCACAAGCACCTTGTGTAAAGGATTCCTTGTCATACATGAGCCTTTTCCCTTTCAGTCTCCACACATCCCTCAATATCAAAAGAATAATCATGTCAGATCTATGTTCTAAGGAGTACTGTTTGCTAAAAAGGCGAGTTATTCAGATCATTAACTTGAGCAGTGATCACAGTAAGTGGGATCTTTCAAGCACCCATGAGCAACTATCGAGCTGCCACACTGGATTAAAAACTGAAGTTGCATTAGTAGTTTCTGTTCTACTCCATGCAGAACTAATCTTATTTACTATGCAATTTTAAAAATATTTTGAGTTAATAACATGACATTCAAAAATTCTCAAGAGTTGTGTTTAAACTGCTGAGGCAAACCTTTTCGGGTAGCTTCTTAAGTTTAGTACTGTCAACTGGAAAGACACAAGTACAGTAGATCAAAGGATGGAACTTCCCTATGAATTCTTCCTTTATAGTAGAAAGTACAATGTTATTTAGGTAATGAAAATTACTGATAACTAAGGTTCTCATTTAATTAGTTTGTGACAAATTTCCAACAATATAAAGATCAACACGGAAAAAATAAAATTGCCATTAAAGATGCTGCATCTATTCAGCCAATAATGCTTTTGCATTTCACAACATGATGTGACACCAGTTAATGGTAGTGTTTCCAACTGTCACCCACAGACTGCTTTGTGGGGGAGCCTGTGGGTGCACTTCCCTAAACTCCCCAGCATCTGCCTTCACCAGCTACAACATTCATACAAGGATGAGGATGGGCAAGCAACGAATAGTAAAAAGGAAGACATAATATCCATAGGCATGTTTAGGGTGCTCTCTAAACCAAGATAATCCCTTAATGTATCAGAGAAACATTAAAAGATTTTAAAGGCCTGTTTCAGGATGTGCCATTTCAGAATCCCTTAACATTCCACATTTCTTAAAGGTCTTTTTAAAATGTCAAGTTGGGAAATAATGCAAATTTATCCCTTTCAGTTAGAACACAAAGATATATGACAGAGAGAAAGTCTTTTTTGGTTCCTGTTAGTAGTATTCCTGTAGTTAGGATGGTCCAGATATTTATTCAGCAACACTGCTAATGTAACTGCACAGGTAACCACCCAATCAATGCCTTGTTTTCAATTATTAGTACTTAACTCTGCAAGCTTCTAAATACCCATTTCCCTCACTGAGATCAAGAATAAACTCTTTCCTAGGTAAAGAGAAACACATATATTAATACTATTTTGTATCAGTTCTGTGGAGCGTTTCAAAATACATTAAGATCGCTGAATCCTTATTTGTGTCAATAAGGATGTAATTTTAACTTCCATAAACAAACAAGACAAACCATACAAACTGGAATTTATTTCATTCACACAGTACAACAAGGAATATAAGAACTTGTGCTTTACATATGTATTTTTTCTTTTTAGGTATTTTGGTTTTAAAACTTCACATTCAGTAAGAAAGTATAATATCAAAAGCAATTTGAAGACCAGTTACAAAGTACTCTTACTCTCTGTTACTTGATAGATTGTCGCACAGGAATATTTAAAACCATTTTTTTTCTGCAGAAATGTCAGAAAAAATCCTTTAAAATGTTCATTAATATTAAACAGAGACTTACTTGCTCATATACCAGACAACTATTTCAAAGTTGTTGTACTAGCAGCATCCTGCCATTCCGGTAATCTCTTGTGTATGTAGTTGCAACATGTGTTCTAGCTGCATTTTAATAACCAATATGTTTTAAGATGACAGAAACTAATTAGGACTCTTAAACCTTTCCTGCTATTCACTTGAAAGTAACACAGGCTTTGCCACAGGAATGCATTAAGTATAGCTTATCTGCTTTGAGCTAGTATTTTCAAAAAGATGTAGGGACATTCACTTTGGCTAACTGTTTTTATAATTAAAAATATGCTCATCAGAGCATAGCAAAGTGCTCTTTTAACTGTTTGAGGAGCTGTTGCGTATCAACATGGCCTGGAAATGCTTCTTCTGACTTCTGAGCAGCTGTGTAACTCCTCTGAAGATCTCCAACCTGAAATAAACACACAAACTGATTTTGTAAATCCAAGCACCACAGTATTTGCATCTGTGCAGTACATTTCTAATGCTCACAAATGTTTGAACACAGCTGGTCCTGAGAGTGAGTAAATAAAACAGAGTCAGTGTCGAGGCTTTTGAACTCAGGGTTATGTCCCACTTACATCAAGGGATGAGAAGAAAAAGACAGAAATGAGATTTTAATGGGAGGGATGCTTAAACGTAGTAACTTTATATCCACCTGACTTCTTGGAGAATGGACAACAGCTTACACCATGCCCACTGTTTGAAGTGAGGACGAATGAAAAATGGAAGATTTGTTTTTAAACTCCACAAAAGTGCTGTTGTATATACAAGCAAAATTCAACCAATCAGCCTCTGTAAAAGCCACAACTCCAAGTGATTTCCAGAGAGGCACAACAGTGTTAGAGAGCTGATGTTGCACCTCTGCTGCTTTTAGAAGTATGTTTCCATATTGTTCCCTACTCGGGGAGCTTTATTTTTTCCTAAATAGCCACCATTTTTTTGGAAATGTGTGTATATAAGGAGAGCATCTCAAAAAGTGAGTTCAGCAAAAAAGAACCCAAATGTTTGGGATCATATCTAGTAAAAGTGATAGCTCCTGGGTGGAAAGGAAGAAGCTATGGAAAGTGTCAGTAGGAGGCCTCCATTGCCTGTGCATCAGTAAACACAGAGCTTCAATGCAGCAAGAATTCTCTGAAGGGGAAGAAACCAGAGTCCTGGCCGGAGGAGTTGCCTTTTGTAAACTGTAGCCATACACTGAATCTAAGGATTGCATTACCATGCTGCATCTGTAGCTAGCTGATCTGGCCATCTGTCTTCTCCCACAACCTATGCAGGTTCTTTGTGCAAAAGCTACATAACAAGACATTGGCAGACGAGGATTTACTCCTTAATCGTTAAGCACAGAATGCAATTATTTAAAACTATCTTATGTTTCACAATGGGGAGGACACGCTTACAAATTAATGGGTTGTTCTCTCCTTGACGCATGTACTTTAATATCCGTAGGAGTTGGGCTGCCCACACAACACTAGACTCATAACAGAATCTTGAAGGTGTAGGCACAAGCAAAGGAGCAATTTTTTCTTGTGAAAAATGTAAGGACTTGTACAAGTTTCTCCTTATTAACAGGTATGTTGGATGCAATGTTAGTTCAGTGTCGGAGACACTCTGTATGAAAGAAATTATTAGAACACAAAATTCAAAGGTTGCAAAGCTGAAGAATAGACTTTCCTTTTGAGAGCAGTAAGATCATGGGATGAATAAATGATATTCTTTCTATAATTACTGATAAATCATACGATACTATTTCACTTCACATTCTGGAAAAGCCAAGAACCATACAGAGTGTAGATGGAATTGTTAATGGATTGCCCATCTTCTGGGCATTTGGAAAATTACAAAGTTACTTTATAGCTAGTTGGCCTCACTTATTCTCAAAAGCAAACATTTGAATGACTACTTTTACACACAAAGCTTCTGGGTATTAAAACGAAAATGTAACTTTAGTTTTCCCTGAGTTTATGCACTCTGTATTCTTTCGTCTTACCTGTTTGGAATTCTCAGTAATAACAATAAAAACCCAACTGCTCCACCAAGGCTCAATTTTTAGATTACAGGAATTAGATAGAGCATTACCTTCTCTGAGAGTATTGCAAAATTGAAATGGGGCTCATACATATGAGGTGCTAAAGACGAAGCAGTCTGCAACAAAGCTCTTGCCTACACAGAGAAAGCAAAAAAAAAAAAATATAGTGAAATCTGTGAGGGAGGGAGAGATACAAGAATCTAAAGCAATTTTCATTATTCTTAAAAGAAATCATCCTGTGTGTTCTTTACTAGGCCTCTATTAAGAAAGCCATCTTCAACTATGTATGAGCTACACCAATAGGATGTTTAGGCATAGTACAGTTTAATAGCATTGAAATGGATAAGACTCTTGGTTGAGTCAGAAAAAACATGTTGAGACTTATTCTATTAAGCAATTCAGTTATAAACACTGAACAGAACATATTAACTTTTAAAAAAAATTTTAAAGTCCCACCCCACTGTATTCATCTGTTGTCTCTGACAGCACCGTCTTAAGCATCCCTGAAAACCTAAATTTTATCATTAAAACGACAGTTTTCACACTGAAAAATTTTAATAAAACTAACTCTTTTTTTCTGACTAGTAAAATAGTAGCATTAAAAACTAATGAAAAATTAAGTACCAGAGTGTGCATTTTCATGCTGTAAATCCAATACAAAATTAAGGTCAATTTGTGAATGTTTTACTAAAAAATTGAGAACTTTGGGGGAAAAAGCCTTATCTTTGAAAAACAAAAGTATCTGTAAGCTGTTTGGGAAGGCAGAGTTAAGAACTTACTAAAACTCCCTAAATCTGGCAACTCTGAGTACATGCAGCAGTACTTAAGAAAGAACATTGTGAAATAAAATAAAAACCAAGATAAGCAAAGTATTTTCACATTTTTTATTCTCCTGTGCATAATTTTATTACCTTGATGATCCAGATTTTCAATTCTACATGTGATACAAGAAGAAACCAGAAAATTTTAAGCTAAAAACTAAAATAGACAGGAAACAATTTATTATAATGGAAAGGCTCTGCAGTGCTAATTATTAGCAATCACAACCTCCACAACTTGACGCAAGTTCCACCTGGTAATTAAATGTCTGTAAACTTACTGATTACGAAACTGAAACTAAACGCCAAGTTCGTTTGTCACTGGAAACATCCAGTACTGGCTTCATTTCAGTGTTTCCATGGTAATTGCTAGGTGAGCTGAATGAAGTTAACTTTGAGAATTAGCTCCTTAAAAAGGTATTTACAAGTCTTTGTATTATAGCTTTCTGATGTATGTATGAATCCACCAAAACAGGCTTGCTCCCATAAGGATTAAAACAAGCCCACAGTAGTGTAAACCATCCAACAAACACATTCATTTTCCCTGCATGTATATAAAAACAAATGCACTTAATCAACTGTTCATGTCAGTTACACATCTAAGTGCAATCAACTTAGTATACACATTAGATAAGACGAACCATGAAGCTTACTGATGCAAAAGTATTTATCAAGAACCCGCTGATTTGGGACAAAACTCAGAAGCATCTCCTTATTGAAAAAAATATTAAGAGCTGGTCTGATTGCTGTCTTCTGCCACCCAACAGAAGTATATTATGTACATTTATAAACTGAATATATAGTCAAAGTTGTCATTTAAGTGATGATTACAGTGATGGGTTTTGTTTTGGGCATCAATTTAGAAAAAAGATCTCAACAACTGCCAAGCAACTATAAACCTTGTTCGTCTTTGAGGAACCATTTAGATACGCCTGAGAACGAGCAGTTTAATGGAAGATGGCATGACAACGTGGAGGTTAGACTGAAACATGCACAAAAGTTATCCATGTTTTCTGCCTGTAATAGTAAGCTAGACATTCATATGATGCCTTCACCTCAGAGAAATGATATATTTCTTAAGTACAAAAGGGCCAAAGGAAGCATTCTGCTTAGGCTGAGATTCAACACCAACCTGTTCAATGTGACCTTTTCGCATCGCCAGCACAGCCAAGTTGTTGTAAGCTTCCGCGTAGTCGTTATTGTTGACTAACGTCAGCCTGAAACACTGGTAAGCCAGATTCAGGTCTCCTATCCCCTAAAAGTAAGATTGTATTTTAATTTGTGAAAAGACTGGAAACACCATACATCTGTTTTGTTGTCTAGAGTATCTTTTCACCCATAGGTACTACCTATGGAATAAAAATTACAATAAAACCAGGCTGATCAGAACCATACATGCTTCACACAAACTTCACATTTGCTTCTTACTCTTTCTCCAGATAGAATCGTTTCTTTCTACCACAAACTTTCATGCTCCAAGTGATATTCACTTAATCTAATTTAACTTCCAGATTATTAAAGTGTCAGGTAAAAACGACGTTATCTGCTACT